CGGGATTGAGTGCCAACTCGTAGGCACAGTAGGCCAGCATATTGGCCGCCGACGCTGATCCGGCAATGAAAAACGTGATGCTCTGATTGATTACCTCCTGTTTCGTCAACTTCATCGCCGATACACCTATAAAACGGCGCCCCTCTGTCGCCGCCAACTCGCCCGGGCTCTGACCGCCGGCCCCCATATCGCCGCTCCCCGTTTGGCCAGCGTTGGCGTCGGCCACGATTTCGGTCACCTCTTCCGCATCCATCAGTAATTGCAAAAAATCTAAGGGGTTTTTGTCAGACTTTTTGCGCTCAGCCATCAAATGCTGTACGACGCGAGTGAAATACACTTCCGGCGATTGGCCATCGCTGGAGGTCAGCGCTTTCCACACACGGCTACGGGTGACGCGTGCGGGCAAACACATTGTGGCCAACGACTGGAAGCGGTTAAACGCGTTAAATTCGCGCACTTTAACGACAAACGGATGGTTTGGATGGGAATAGGGATGGGCTTTGGTGGCGAACGCCGCGCTGGCGACCACATCGACGCTATAGTTGGCCATCAGTGCCGGCAAATCGACCACCGCCTGTGTCCGGCCGCCGCTGTCGGCCGCAGCTGCCGATACTATGCCGTCCAAAGTGGCCATAAACTCTTGGCAACACTCGCTGACGAGTGGGTACAGACGTCGCAGTTTGCCCGAAGTGAACGCCGGACCCATAATGAGTCGCAGCCGTCGCCAGTGGTCGTCGCGGGCGTTGAACATCTGTCGCGGAAACTTGTCGTTCGGGTCGGTCTCTGGCATACGGTTACGGAATTTGTGAAACTCTTTTACCATAATCTGTTTGATAAGCGCCGGTTCGGCCACAGTTAGCGCCGGCCGTTTCAACCCATACACCCTATGATGCGAGAGTAAAACAGTTTGTTATTTGTAATAATTTGTTTAGTAATTAATAAATATTGTTGAGCACCCTAATTAAAATGCTACATTATACACTAGTGAGCGACATGTAAAACCCCAACCCTATACTCAAAGCGCATGCGTGAACTCATACTACTATTGTTTTGCAACTAATATAACTAATAGAAGATAAAAAGTATTGTTTTAAAGTTTAAAAGTGGCAAGCTCAATAAAACACTATAAATGTGATGAAACGCTTGTAAAATATACTATTCTGTCATATTTTTCGGGTTTATGGTTCGGGTTAGGTTTGGTTCGAGTCAATTTGGGTTCGGGTTAGGTCGGGTATAGAATTTGTCAATATTTTGGTCATTATTATATACGGCCTATAAATTGCTGTTCTAATAACCTTATAAGAGTATAACTTTAAATATAGGATGATTATAAGTAAATTATACTTTAATTAATTTACATAATATTACGGTTAAATAAAATACATGTTTTATTAATTAATCATAATAAATGTTTTACACACCGTGTTTAATTGTCTACTTACCCGTAAATTCGGCCGTATTTCCTATACCACTCCATCTCTGTATAAGCAAATGGTTTGAATAGTGCGGTCAATGTATTGCCAAAGTATAGTACGGGTGTCGGACCCGAGACATTACGGTCTCTCCAGTAATTTAGTGAACGCTTCCATTTCCTGTACATTAATGTCAACAATATTATTAATTATGATAAATATTATTTATTAATTAGATTAACTCTATCAATTATTATTCAATATAATATATACAGTATGCTCAATAATAAAATACTGACCATGATTTAAACGTGATCAAAATGACCACAATGGCGGCCAATACATATGGCATGTATTGAATGTCAATTACTAAAGACATCGGTATTATTGTTATTGTTTTTACTAAATTATAAAATATTATACGAATTAAATGTTAATTACAATTTATAATCAAGTTTTACCATATATCTAACAATTAGCATATTACATTGCGGTTAATTGCAAACTAATTCGTTTTACGTATTTTAACATGTATTTATACAATTCATATGAATTATGTAATTGCAAAAAACACACTGTATTTTATGCAATTCATTTAAATATTACACAAAAGGATGTTTTAAAAGCATCTAGAATAATCTGATTGAGTAAGTAATAGAATTACGCAAAAATAATATTGCAATATTTATTGTAACTATGCTTGAAAAAGCAAACTTAATTAAAGTAAAACAATATTTAAATTGTTATTAATATATAAGTTAATTGATTTTTTATGATTTATATTTTATGATTCCAAAATTTACTTATAATCACTTATAATATCTAACCCTTGTGTTTAAATACAATTGAATTCTTCTAGTTTATTTAAAATTAATATCATACAGTATTAGATTAACAATAACTTTATCACCAATATTGTAAACATGTATTTTACTTTTACGCAGTATGCAAATGAATTGCATAAAATATATTCTGTTATTAAATAAACAAATATTATTTCAAAAACATATTTCAAAATTTCAAGAATATTCTGGTTGTTACTAACCAAGTTAAAATAAACATCTATTGTATGCATAAATAATATATCAGTATCTAGTAAGCTTGTTGTTCAATCAAATATAAACATAATAAAAACAAAATGAAAATGATAAAAAGAAAGGTAAAAATATATGATAATTTATTCCTCTAAGTCTTAGAGTTGATCCTATGAGTGACTTTCCTCACAATTTATATAAAATTTATATTACATATGAAATGTATATAAAATTAATGTAGTAAATGTAAAATAAAAATTAAAATTAATGTATTATTAACTTAAAATTATTAAAATATATAAAGTAACATTTAATGCAATAAACGTGTATATTACTTTTAAGCACTTTTACATCTATGCAAATGAATTGCATAATACATATACTGGTATTAAATAAACAAATATTATTTCAAAAACATAAAGAACATTCTGGTTGTTACTAACCAAGTTAAAATAAACATCTATAGTATGCATAAATGATATAACAGTATCTAGTAATATTGTTGTTCAATCAAATATAAACATGATAAAAACAAAATTAAATTAATAAATACAGCGTTTAATTAAAATATAAATTTGTAAAACGCATGTAAAAGTATAAATAAGTAATACCAAGATTTTAATTATTATTTTCATTTCAATTTTCATTTCAAATATTTGTGAAATCAATTCACATTTTTTAAAGCTATATTTAATTAAATTAACCCAAATTTCATGTCAAACACAAACACAACCGACAAATACACTCTCAATACTGTACACACATTCCCACAATATACTGGACTATACTCGTATCATAATGTTTATATGCACCACAATAAACTCTCTATTCTGCCCTCTCCTATAGCAATCCCATATTAAAACAAAAACACCGAGTTTATTAGTATTATTAGATTTTTAGACTATGATATGAGATAATGTTTTCTATGAAGATACTATGGAGATGTATTTTAACTGATTAAAAAAATTTAATAAACCTAATATTTGTTATAAATATTTAAAATTCTAAAAATATTGATATTATGATTAAACAACTCACAAACA